CTTTTGCTTCAGAATCAAAAGTGGTCATTTGGCACCCAGTAAGATCCCAGCAACAACAGTGAGATGCCATGTGCTAAAGTGAGGAGTAGGTGGGGAGTCCTGAACATTGGGGAATGTTCCCCTTCTGCAAACAGTGCAGTGGGACCTTCACACACTCTTGGACCAACAAACAGCCCTGATTTGACATGTTCTCGGAGAGACAGTGCACTCAATAATGCAGCCCATACTCAGCACTGCCTGGATCTGTCAATCTGTAATTATGTGCTTGAGTCCTGAGCTGGGATCACGAACGTATAACCTTCTGGTTTAGATAACTGAGGCATTCTGACATAACTCAAGACTGGGGACAGGGGAATCAGTCTGTTGCCATTTCTTTTCCTGCTGAATGTCTTTTGAGAAATTCATGTGCAAAACCCAACACAAGCTGCATCACAAATTAATTAACAATGGGACTGGGTAGGCAGCTAAAAAATTACATCAGTCCTCTGGTGTATAGTTTCAACAGAAACCATCAGACATATCAAATAACTTACTCTTTATTTACTCAGCAGAGTAACCTGGATACATTTCCCAAAGACAATTGTCTCTAATGTATTTTAGATCTACACTAATGCATCCGGTCTCTACAGTTCAGTGCTGCCACAAGTAACAAGCCTTGGATTCAGGGACTGAAGTGCCAGGCCCTCAAGCTGAGGAAATAAGGAGAAAAAAATCTCTTCACAAAATTCACTGCAAATTCTTCAGTGCACTTTCGCTTGATGAACAATTCTATAAAGAAAAGGCAGTGTGCAGCAATCTGTTGCAAACGTATCATCATCTTATGCGCATGCTAACTCCCTCCCTAAACCTCTCTACCTCATTCTCCTCCCTCAGAACTCTGCTAGATGTCTTCCTCTTTGAGTAACCATCTGGCCAGCTGTTCTCATGTCTCTGCCTTTGCCTTGGCATCACATTTTGACGGAGGCTAGTAAAACATGCTTTGCAATGTTTTGTGACATTAAAGGTGCCAACACAAATGCTAGTTACAATCCCTACTGTGTGGAAGCAGGCCATTTAGCCCATCAAGTCAGCACTGACCCTCCAAAGAGCATCCCACCCACCCTTTCCCTGTAACTGTGCATTTTCTTATGGCTAACACACCTAGCCTACACAGCCCGAGACACTATGACCAATTCACCTCACCTACACATCTTTAGACTGTGGGAGGAAAGCCACACAGACACAGGGAGAATGTACAAACTCCACACAGACATTCGTCCAAGGATGGAATTGAACCAGGGTCCCTAGCGCTGTGAGGCAGCAGTGTTAACCACTGAGCCAATGTGTAACTTTCTCCCCCACTGTGTATACAACATTATGACAGTAATTTCAATGCTCTACCTAAATAGCCTTTGCTTCTGAGGGTTTGATTCTTTTTCACGTACAATGCAAGAGTTCAAAAGATTTCCATTATTATTCACTTTACAGAGTCTGTAATCTGAGAATAGATTGCAAACACACTAATCTTGTTGACTTTACTCCTTGTGTGCTTGGGATTGCTCAAATCATCGGAACTACTCCGTCTTTTTATTCCATACAGGAGCATCACACCAATCTCTCCAGGGACAGAAATTTAGAAACAATTACAGATTACAGAAGATCCACAAAATGTCACTCTTCAGCAGTTTGAAATCAATATTTTAATGACAGAATTACTTCCCTGCAAAGTTTAAATTTTCAGCTCTGGATAATAAATCATTGTTACTACCTGGAGTACATGATCCGAAAGGAGGTAAATTCAATAATAAGTTTCAAAGGGAAATTGGATAAATACATAAGGGGGAATATTTGAAGGGCAGAAGGGAAAGTGGGACTAATTTGATTGTTCTTTCAATGATCTAGTACAGGCACAATGGGTCAAATGGCCTCCTTCCTTGCTGTTTCATTGCATAATTTTGTGAAGCCCCATGCTAGAAGTCACCCAGAGGAAATCTGCTCACATGACGGACACACCCATCCACTGCTGAACTAAGAGACCATTGGGTGCAGGTTCATAGTTCTTCGAAAGTGGAGTCGCAGGTAGATAGGATAGTGAAGAAGGTGTTTGGTACGCTTGCCTTTATTGGTCAGTGCATTGAGTATAGGAGTTGGGAGGTCATGTTATGGCTGTACAGGACACTGGTTAGGCCACTTTTGGAATACTGCATTCAGTTCTGACCTCCTTGCTATAGGAAGGCTATTGTGAAACTTGAAAGGGTTCAGAAAAGATTTACAAGGATGTTGCCAGTTTTGGAGGGTTTGAGCTATAGGGAGAGGCTGAATAAAGTGGGACTGGGGAATGAGCTGCGAGAGGAAGTGGTGGAGGCTGGTAGAATAACAACATTTAAAAGACATCTGGATGGGTATATAAATAGGAAGGGTTTAGAGGGAGAAAAGCCAAATGCTGGCAAATGGGACTAGATTTATCTAGGATATCTGGTTGGCATAGATGAATTGGACCAAAGGGTCTGTTTCCATGCTGGACATCTCTATGGCTATGACACCTAAAAAAGACTCTACCCTTCATTCCCATCACACCATCCGACAGTTTGCTAAATCATCCTATTGCCTCTGGACCCTATTGACTTCCTGAAGAACTTTCTGGCAAAGCTTCTTGATTAGGTCTTCATTAGTTTGTTTCTCCATCACTCATCGCACATGTCAGTTTGAAGCAACGGACCTGGATCATTGCACATAATTTTGGTCACCTTACCTGAGGAGAGATGTAGTTGTGTTACAGGCAGTTCAGAGGAGGTTCACACGATTGATTCTAGAGATGAGGGTTTTGAACAGAGATTGAGCAGTTTAGGCTGATAGTCTCTGTAGTTTAGGAGAGCGAGAGGAGATCTGATTGAGGTATATAAGACATGCAAGGGGATTGGTAAAGTGGACTTAGAAAGGATGTTTCCTTATGTGGGGCAATCTAGAATGAAAGATCATAGTTTTAAGATAAGGGGTAGCAGATTTAAAACAGAGATGAGAAGAAATTTACGTTCCCAAAGGTTCATGAATCTGTGGAATTCACTCCCTCAGAGTGTGGTGGGTGGCGGGACATTGGATAAGAAAATAGATAAGACTTTTAATTCATAACAGGTTCAAAGGTTACGGACAGTGGTTGGAAAGTGGAGGTGAGACTGAGATGAGATCAGCCATGATTGTATCAAATGCAGGAGCAGGCTCGATAGCCTGAATGCCTCCTCCTGCTCTTGGTTCTTCTGTTCGTAATGTTACGTACATTACCACAACATTTACAAACCCACAGGAAAAATCTGTTTTTCTCTCTTCACAGATGCTGTCAAACCTGCTGACTTTCTCTGCCACTTTCCATTTTTATTACAGATTGCCAGCATCCAATGTATTTCATTTTTATGAGACGGGAATCTAATTACTGTTGGGCCATTGAAGAATTGGCACCAACAAGAATCCAATGGGCAGAATGGCCTCATTCCACATAATAATCTCTATAATTCTGTGATCCAATAGCCAGTGTTAAACATAAAGTCATAAACACAGGGCAGACATTTTCCCCATCTTGACTGTTACTCTGGAATGGGGATAGATAATTAACACAGAAGCCAGTAAGTGCTACTTACAAAGACATTTTATCTGTCTTGTTAAGCAAGCAGGAAATAAATACGCAGAGCTAAAAAGAAAACATATGTACGTTGTGTAACAATGGCTATCAGCAGCAAATGCTACCAGTACCATGCAAAAACAGACATTATGGAGACAGTGTGCCGAACGCATAATTATAGGTCTGCTCAAAGTCTGAAGAGTATTTCTTGTAATATAAACAGACATTAGCATTTAGCAGCAGTTTAAGCTGTCTCCTGTTCATTTTCTGCATTCCAGTGTTTCAACCTTTTCAAACCTATATATACAAAATGAAACATGGCCTGTGCTGCAAATGTTTTTTTGATATACCATGCCCCTGGGCAAGAGAAAGAAAAGCCAGCCAGGGTCCCCTACTCCAGTCGCTGTCTTAACAGCTCGCTGTCTGGACTGTCAAGTCTGTTGAAACTCACCGCGGTGTTTGTAATGAGAGGTGATGAGGTGCAGTGGTGGTGGGGGATGGCAGATCTGGGCACAGTCGCAGGGTTGGACAGGGAGGGTGTAACTTTCATTCATTTTGGAGTGCTTTTGCCAATATTCCGATAGCTTCATCCGGCTGATTGGTGACAATTTGGGATGGGGGGGATGGAGAACTGGTAAGCAAGAGGTGCAGCACAAAGGACAATGTAGCACTGCCAACACTTTCAATCTGGTGAGTGCCTCTGACAAAGTTCCAACTGTTCTGCTGTCAGGTTACCTCCCTCCCTCTTACCAAAGCACCAGTGTCAGCATCTCCTTATCCTGCACTTCTTCCTCCCAACAGCAGTGGGCACTGGTGTCCTCAGTGTCCAAAATCTTTGAGGTGTTAATGATCAACATTATAGTTTTCAAATGGATTTCGACGGAACTGACAGCACAGAAACAGGCCTTTCGGCCCAAGTGGCCCATGTTGGCCAGGATCTCTTCTAGTGTAGTGGCACCACTCCTACCTCTGAGCCAGGAGAACAGGGTTCAAACCCCTCTGCTTCAGAGGTTTGCAGTAAATCTCAACAATTTGGAGAGTGGGACGAGGGGCATTGAGTTCAATGATTACATTGAATGCTGAAGTGGGGTTAAATATGGCATTTAAAATCCGAACAAGTCTCTTATTCGTTTTGGCTTCAATCCCATCAGCAGATTCCTGAAATGTTGTCAGGACCCTCTCATAGAGGATAGTTGAATCCGAAGGGATCAGGGAGATATTTTTGTTAGGTGTTAGGGGACCTGGTGCCTACCTCTCCGTCCCTTCATGCCCCATACAATTGGAAACTGAGAGGAACCCTATGTCAGTGGAGGTAATGATGAGGATTAGGAATTAGCAGTGACGAATTCTGCAAGCAGGATGTACAACCTTGTTGGATCTCCGTTGGGCACCTGAGAATGGGTTTTACCTGTGATCTGATCCACATTCTCCTCAGTCACATGGTCCTTCTGGTGCACCCATTCCCCATTGCACTTGAAGTAGATCTGCGTGGCTGGTGTTGCTGTGCAGGCCATTACAACTGGCTTGTTCTTGACAATATAGGCATCATCTGGCTCCACCTGGAATCGTGGCAGTGGCTCTGTTGGTGAAGAAGGGAAGGCCTCAGGAAGCACATCGCTGTGTTCGGATCCTACAGGTGATAAGGAACAACACGGAGATTACTGAGGAGCATTTAAGGAAGGTTTAAATGCGTGGCATTTAATATACAGCACAGGAGATTAGTCACACAGGAACCAAAGGCTGTCCATTATCCTGAGATAATGACACTAGTTATAGAGAACTCCAGCACTTAATCAATCAGCCTAGTGTCATAACACGTGTGCAGCGCATTTTCTGCAGCCTAATGTGTTTACAGTGTCTTTCAGGACAGATAGTAAGGAGTTGTTTAGTTTAGCAACGTGCCAACTCAGACCAGCTGCCCTCAATATTTACAGTCGCCCATTCCTCTCTGCAGCTGATGCAGGGCTTGTCAGTGTGTTTAATATTGGATCTTTCTGCACCCTGGTGAGTGCTAAGTTTCCAGCGTCCACTTCACAAAGAGCTCCCTAGTTCAGGCTTTCAGCTCAGTCTCATGTTTCCTCTTTCCCCTTCTCCTGAACATTAGACACTGTCTAATCATCTGTACCCCATGGGGACAGGCAGTGTCCTTACCCATGAATATGCACGCTCTTGTCATCAATGCTGCTAATCTTTTATAAACAGCTCAGTATAAAGCAATTGAGGGCTCTATCATTCTATTAGACAGGATTATGTAAGTACAAGGACTGAAGAGGATCAGATGAATTGCAAATGTTCTCTCCTCTGCCCAGTCACTGTAACTTGCCCCTGCCTCTTGGCTAGGTTCTCCATGCCTGTACGATTTAGACTGGGCATCTGACCATCAACAGGTTTGAAGGGCTGAATAGCCTACTCCTGTTTTCTTTGTTTCCAAGCTGGGAGAATGTTACAGAGATTACAGTGAGTCAGTAGGGCATTGTAACATATGACTAGATTGGAGCTTTTCATACCATTTCTTTAACACTGAGGTTCAGAAACAGAAAGTACAGTACATTGTTTGTCCATCAGCTGGTTTATTCATCAAACGCCTCTCCAACTCACTGTTAAAATTGCTACTAGTGGCTCATAGGAAGAGCAACGGACCATTCAGCTCATTGAGTCTGATCCACCATACAATATGAGTGGCTGACTAATCAGGCCAATGGATGGGCAACAGACTTGGGCCATGGGCATCTCTGGCTGGATATTTACTGCCCGTCCCTAGTTGTCCAGGAGAAGGTGGTGGTGAGTTGATATGCAGCTCACCCAGAAACCACATGATGGATGAAGAAATGGATTTGAAAGCCTGGGACAGTAGAATGTATACTGGTGACAGAGTAGTGTGGGATTGAAGTATAACAGGAAATGAAAAATGTAACAGGCAGTACAATCAGGACAGCATTACTGCAGGGTCAATATGGGGTCAAAATCCAATTGAAGAAGAAACCATTGACACTGAAAAACCAACGAAAGACTGTATTGCAGAGCATGCTCCATTTGTTGCAGTGAAAGAGAAAAGCATTGTTAATTTAAATAAATGTAATTTACATAAATATAACAGAAACAAAAACAGAAATTGCTAGAAAATCTGAGCAGGTCTGGCAGCATCTGTGGAGAGAAATCAGAGTTAATGTTTCAGGTCAAATGACCCTTCCTCAGAACAGTTCAGAGGAAGGGTCACTCAACCTGAAACGTTAACTTTAACTTCTCTCTACAGATGCATCCAGACATGCTGAGCTTTTCCAGCACTTTCTGTTTTTGTTTCTGATTTCCATCGTCCGCAGTTCATTCGGTTTTTAGATAAGTATAAGTCATGAGAACGGCCTTGTGGTGCAGAGCAGAAAATTTGGCAACACCAAGAGAGGAACAATGACTGGGTGTATGAAAGGAAGCAGTGAAGATTGTGGGAGAACTAAAGAAAGTAACTGCAAAGAGAGTGAAATGATGTGGTCATCTGCTGCATGGAGAAGGGAAAATGTGAGGAGGCAGACGATGGAGCTGGGATTGCCAGGAAGAAAGAGAAGCAGAAAGCTGAGGCTAGAGAGAATGATGCAGTGGCGAGAGGTATAAATACAGTGGGATTGGAAGAGGAATGGGTGGCTGACAGAAGGGGATGGGGAAAGACATCAGCCAACATTGTGGAGACCCCAAGTGAAATGGAAAAGAAAGAAGAATAAGGGGAAAGAGGAACAGTTTGAAAGTTATTGCTGTTGGGGTTCACAGCTGACTTCCAGTTTCCCCCAAGGGCAGGTTGAAACCTGCTGGAGCACAAACGGGAACTAAACCCAAAAAATGTGACATAAGCAACGTAAAACAGAAGGATATTTGTACACACATAACCAAGAGAAAGGAAAGAAAGTATTTTTTGCTATTCCGCCCAGCAACAGCCTTTAGAAAGGTGACTCCAGGCCAGCAGTGATTTATCATGAGGTTGAACAAAACAATTTAATGAAGCAGCAGCCTATGAAATATTAATCCCCGATCTCCTTAAACACACAATTCCTCACTGAGTCCACAGAAAGATTAGACATGATCTTATTGAATGGCGGAGCGGGCTCAATGGGCCAGACAGCCCACTCCTGTTCCTATTTCTTATGTTCTTTGGAGCTTCTCTTATTGGAAAAGTTTGCATGACGTCTTACATTGTTAAAACATCCCAAACATCTCTATTCTACTTGTTATTTGAAATTCTATGTTAAATCCAACTTTAGTCCACCACATTTAAAGTGCCTCCTACTTGAGCTGACATCTCAATCTTCTTGGAGACACTAAGGGCTGCAGATGCTGGAAGCTAGAGTCAATAAATGTGGAGCTGGAAAAGCACAGCAGGTCAGACAGCATCCAAGGAACAGGAAAGTCAACCCTAGGTTTCGGCCCAAAACGTTGACTTTCCCGCTGCTCGGATGCTCTCTGACCTGCTGTGCTTTTCCAACTCCACATTTATTGATCTCAATTTTCTTTCCTGATGAAGCCTTTGGAAAACACCTTGAGATGTCCCAAACAAACAAGTGCAAGCTGCAGCCATTGGGTACAACACAGAGAGTTCAAATCTCGAAAGCAATCTCTGTGAAGTGTTTCAGTGGAGAGATGGATATCGATTATCGCTATTGTTTCTGCCCTACAAACACTTTGCCATGAAGGGCAATCATCTCTAAATGCTAAAGTCACTTTGACATTAAACATAATTATTCAGAATGTGAATCCATGTGGAATATCTCAAACTGCATAGCATGCCACTGCAGTCTGTTTTTTACAGGTAAATTCTGCCTTTTTACCCCCTTTATTCATTCACAGGATGAGGGCATCGCTGGCTAGGCAGCATTTATTGCCCATCCCTAATTACCCAGAGGGCAGTTAGGAGTCAACCACATTGCTGAGGGTGAGGAGTCACATGTAGGCCAGACCAGGTAAGGATGGCAATTTCCTTCCCTAAAGGGCATTAGAGAACCAGATGGGCTTTTCCAACAATCGACAACAGATTCATGGTCTTAATTCCAGATATTTTATTGAATTTAAATTCCGCCGTCTGCCACGTCAGGATTCAAACCCAGGTCCCCAGAACGTTAACTCTGAATTAACAGTCCAGCAATAATACCGCTAGGCCGACACCTCACCACCATGGAAGGTGATATGTTCTGTGTCTAAAAGGTGAAGTTGCCATAGCCTTATAAGACCGTAGGGCTGCTCTCTTATTAGAGGGAGACGACTGGTGGTGTTTTAACCCGAGGGTCACCATGCCTCACCTGAGGGGAGAGGTTGACAAGGAGAGTCTTTTATGGTAACCTCAGCCAGAGCAGGAATTGAGCCCACACTGTTGGCATCACTCTACATCGCAAACCAGCCAATTATACTAAGGCCAGAAAGTGTTTGTCTTAACATCACTCTGTAAGTGGTTAACACATGCGTCAAATGTCTGTTGGAGAAACTCAGCAGGCCTGGCAGCATCTGTGAAGAGAGGAACAAAAATCAACATTTCAAGTCTGACAAAGACCTGAAGCATTAACTTCGTTTCTCTCTCCACAGATGCTGCCAGACCTGCTGAGTTTCTCCAGCAATTTCTGTTTTTATTTAATTCCCAGCATCAGTGCTACTTTGTTTTCTTTTTACCAACTTCCATTTCCTGTTATTTTAAGGCAGGCACTCATCAGGTTGCTGCTAGATTGATTCATTCGAATGGCAGGATTGTCTTACAAGGAGACATTGGGTCAACTGGGCCTGTATTCACTGGAGATTAGGAAAACGAGAGGGGGTCACTTGAGCTATGCAGAGGTTTGACAGGGCGGGCCTGACTGGATGCAGGGATGATTTTTCCCTGAGCTTCAGGGGCTCATATCAAAAGGTCAAGGTCTCAGGTCACTGGCTAGGCCAGTTTGAAATCAATTAAGGAGACATTACGTCACTCAGAACCTGTGCTATTCTCTTTCACTTATATCTGTGGAGGCTGAATCACTGAATATATTTAGAAAAGAAATAGCTACGTCTCTTGACACGGAAGATGCTTATTGGAATGAAGAGAATCTGAGAATATGGCATTGTGGATCAGCCATTGGTCATATTGAATGGCAGAACAGGCTCAATGGGCCAAATGGCCTACTCCTGCTCCTAGTTTACATGTTTAAATGCTGTACACCTGCATAAAGACATTGTACAACACTGACAGCAGTTGTCAGTCTATATTACAATAGGGCCCTGTATGCATCATTGTCTCCAGTACAGTGTCTAGCTGGATAATGAATTGGACCCCCTTTGTGTTCCCTGGATGAAGCCAGTGGAGAGTTAGACATTGGTCGTGCATTATGTTAACAATACCATATTTATCAACAGGCTATGTTAGCAAATGGGAGCAGGAAACAGTAATAGTGCCCTGGCTACATTCTGAAATAATTCCTTCAATTAATCTACTGAGTGACGTTTGGAAAGTTAGCTGCAAGCTACAACAAGCTCCTCACACTTCATCAATGAGAGAATGATTCAATCATCTGCTCTGATTGACAGGTATACATCAGCCAGGGTGGAAGGGGATAACACCACTGCTCATCCATGTAATCATGTCATCGACAGTCTTTAAAAGGTAAAGTCACCACAGTGCCACTC